CCAATTTAGTAACTCTGTGGTACAAATTATCGAACCGGTTGGCTAAATTGGACCGAAGCTCTGAACTCGTACTTTGTTGATTTGTGCAAAATATACAACAATCATGTTAATTAATACTTATGAAATAGTAAGTTGAATAATGTATCTTTTATCATATACCATGGACATTAGCAAAAACAGAAGAAAACTATGTGTAAAATGGGATTGAAAAAAACTGGTCCAAATTAGCGGACTCTCCCTTAAGCACTTGTACACGTCTCAGTATTAACCAAAATATTGTCTGGAAATTAATCCCAAATAATGAAACTAAACCAAAAATCTGATAACCTATGTTTGAGATTAGTTTTAGAGCGTCGTTGCATACCTACTTATCATGGGCTGTTTAAATTACAATAATTACATAATGATAAAAATTGGAAATGATTTGAAAAAACTTGAAAATTCTAGTATTATCGATTTGGCATTGTGTCGGTTAGCGCTGTATAAGTCTAGCCTTGCTTCAAGTTATCATTACGTTATGTAATGATAATTCTTTGCAATAAAGTCTATATTCGTCAAAATATGGACCATCTCTTTCATCAGAAATATTTTTTCGCCCACCAGCAAGTTTGATAACCTTAACAAAATTATTTATTAAACTATCTTGACCCGAAACCAAAAATAGTTTCAATGTAATGATATAACCGTAGGTATAGGTACGATAGGTAACACACTTAACACTGTCACCTCATACCTTATGTAACTGTACATAGATGTGATTTTGCAACAAAAATAATAGTCTGATGTGCTGACGACTACTGTACAAATGAAATATTCCAGAAAAATGTGGTAAATCTTAATTTTTCGTCTCATTGCAAAAGTAGGTAGGTATAGCTGATAGTCACAGATAGTGATAACCCATTGGAACAATATAATTGAATAATATGTTATTTTTTCAAATAAAAAATATATTTAAATGATTTTTTTCAACAAGAGTGATTGAAATTCAGTTACAGATAATGAGTGAAGATCTTTGGTTGCTTAATCGAGTGATCGAAAAAGAACGCAAAGAAGAAAAATGTTTTAGTTTGCGAGTTTAACACGACTACTTATTATGTTACAAATAGGATCCAATACTTATTCATTCTGCTCCATCTTAGATTTCATCTCTTACCAGATGGAACCGAAATTAAACGTAAACTCAGTTCCAAGTAAGTAAGTATGTAGGTATATTAAACTGCACATATGTAGTTTGTAGGTAAAGAACTGCCTTTCTATACTATTCGAAGAACATTCATTGCAGATAACGTGAACAAAATATAGGTAAGTGTGATTCCCCAGCACAAGTGACGTCATAACCTCCAGCATCCACATTAATTAATCATCCCGCTATAGTTGTGTTGTTTAGACCTACATAGACTCAAGCAAGCGCTTTAGGAAAAGAAGTGAAAACTTTCAACAGTAAATATTATGTTTCTTCTGAATTAAACCGAGGCAGAGTAAAATGGATTCTTCCCTTGTAGGTACGTCGTAACAGCAGTGGCGGCGTAGCACGGGTTGGTACCCGGGGCGGATCACCAACCCCCCCCCCGTCATAAGGCACNCCCGTATCATGACATAAGACCGCAGACTTGCCATGCAGATGCGAGTACTAATCTGCGCGACTTGTGTCACCCCCTGATGCTTGGCACCCGGGGCGGACCGCCCCCACCGCCCCCCCCTTACGCCGCTACTGCGTAACAGGGAAAAAATTGTAGGTACCGAACATCAGTTCTCCCTCACCCATTTGGTGAACGTGGGGACTTGGGGAGTGTAGGCCAAATACTACTTTTGTCTCTGGTAAGTTAAAGAGGTGGACTTCCTGTGGCTGAGATGATGATGATGAAGATAAAGAGAGTCGCGCGCAGTGTTTACGAAATGATTCTGAAGATGATAATTACCTTCATTTTAAAAATCAGAATATGCAGGCAGAAAAAAACTTACACTCGAATTGAGACCCTAGGGACCCCTTATTTTTAAGTCTGTTAAAAATACAGTGTGGCCCTGGATAAAATGCAACCGCAATGGGGGTGACAATATAAATTGATTAACGACAAAAAAACAATGTTTTTATTACAAAAATTGTTTCAATTTCTAAGTATCTATCATGCAAGTACGCAAATGTTTCACGCGGGGTCAATGTCGGGACAACAAATTTAAACAACCCATTTTATGGTTTTATTAAAACAATGATACAGCAGAAGATATTTTTGTATAATAAAACAAAGATAAAGTATAGAAGCGATTAAACTATAAGCTGGGTCATGGTCTATACATTGTATGTATGTGTGAAATGTATGTAATATACGCTTGCTATTTCCGAAATGTAATATTATTAAGGGCGGCCTATGTTCAGCAGTGGACGTCCTATGACTGAAATGATGATGATGATGAATATTATTAAGAAAATATGTTTCTTTCTACAATTTTGTTTAGGTACTTACCCCTTCTTTAATCGTAACAAGAGCACAAGCTAGTAAGTTTAGTAATATTTAGCTTAAGTGCTTCAGTAATATTGATGATGTGAGTTAAAACGGTGTGTAAAAGCTCTTCTTCAAAGATAACCTACTCGTTTTCTGTCTCTCCTTTCATGTTCATTTATTCAGGAAACATTTTTCAGGAAATGTACGATCAGCTTACACCCTGTATAGCGAATGTTGATGCGTGCCGAAACAAAACACGCTAAAAAGCTCGTAGCTTAGCAACTCTTGCCAGAGCTTTTAAGCTACTAGACACACACAATTTATAAACATTATTATTTCCTGCTTTGTCCATCTAACTAATATTATTCTATTTCAAATAGGTAGATAGATTTTGGATAGAAAAAGATAGGTGTTGCAATAAAAGTTGGGAAACAATCCTTTTCTCTACATTTTAACTGGCTTCGGGGGTCTGCATAACTACTTATTGTGCCATAATATGTACCTATTTACTTAATGACTTTTACCATAGCGATACTCTGTTCTCAACGATGATTTAAGTATAATGTCGGGATGAAACGGTAGTGTAATAGTAGAAAGTTTGTTTAGTCCAACAATCTGACCTATTATGTATTGCGATTCCTTATCAAATGAGAGCAAATGCATGTGTGTGATGTCACTAATAGTTCAATTTATCAATAAAATTTAATGTCAATTTACTATATCTGCTGAACTGTGGCGGTTCCTGTTTTGACGAAAACACAGATAACAGGAAAAAAAACATAAAATAATAAATTGGAATGCCAAAACAACCCACTTAAGTCAAGCTACTGCACTAGGCATCGTTGGAATATCATAACACTTAGTAGATAGTACAATATTATTCAAATGTGCGTAATGGTATAACAATAGGTTAGGTACAGTAGTTACGATCATATTATACCAGACAAGGTTTATACCACTGCGGTTCTAAGCAATAATGTATTAAGTTTTGTGTTCCATTAACTTAAAGTCATAAATGAGTCAGATTGTTGCTGTTTAAATGTTAACCACCACAATTCGGTCTCTGTCTATAGTTTCTTATGACTGCACCAATAAAGTTTGGCTTTTACGGGCGGCGCCCTACGTGTTTCAATCCTCACCCACCACGATAATGGGTGCGTGCTGACTGGTGTATATTTATTACCATACGATTGTATTAACAAACTATAAAAACAACCAATCAAAACAACATTAAGGCCCATTATTTGCGAATGTATACAAAACAAAATGCACCTTCATGCAGCAAGGGCGTTACTTTTGAGATTGTCATTCCTGTGCCATGTATGGCATTCAGAAACGTTTTCAACAGTCACGGCATATAAAGGGGTTTATACAACTTACGTATACAAAAGTGTACTACACTTTACCTACTCTCTTTTTGCAGTTTTTCTTAAAAAAAGAATACATTGATCAATAGTCCTCACTAAAGGTCAAGTAAAGAGTCACTTTTTAAATATTATTGAAAAAAATAATTGTTTTTAAGATTGACTTTTTATCAACCAAAACATAGATTGTATAATCTAACTGGATTAAATAATAGACTTATTAGGTTATTATGTCAAATTGGATTACTTAGTCCAAAACACAAACAACGTTTACACTTTGTATTTACCAGTTGTTCATGCTTATCTACGCCTAAGTATCTGAGTCTCATTTAAGAGATTGTTTTATTTACCCTACTTTTGGTGGGTTAAAGTATTCCAAACCAATAATTAAAGTGTGACCAAAATGTGACCTTTGGAGAACATTGAACAAGCATTAATTGAACGAATCGATTTCCACCCTGCCAAAAAACACGCGTGGACCCACCGACGCATGTGTATGGAACTTTACATGTAAATTGGTACATGTGGTGTCGACGGGGGTCGTGCCATACCGTGCCAGGCCCATCGCACGCCGCGATAAAGGTCTCAACTATGACACGAGCCACCTAGAGTCTGCTAAAAGTTTACGGCAGCGACGCGGCTAGACCGCTCTTGCTCCGCCACTTCAGAGTCGAATTGGCATTTGGTATACAAAAACGGCACCGAGTAACCCAAACAGCACTCCGCCGCGTCGGGGGTAAGTTGGCTGCTTGGTAACAGCTTGATTACACCTGCAAGATGCGTTAGTAACACCTTATTAGCACGTAATGCAGCTAAAATGTTAGAGCGCAATTTATACACGTATTTGATTTGAGGCTAGGTAATTTAATAAATGTTGATTACATGCACCCTTGTTGATTGCACGAACCACTGAAACAATTGGCTTGGTTTCCATATTCACAAGAAATATGCATAAAGATTGAGGTAGGTCATAGTCGATTTCAGTTGTACAATGTTAGAAAAGGTTTGATGAATTTATTTGTATCTTCCCTATTAATCACACAAAATAATTGCACTAGTCTGGAAGATGATAAACTTTAGCATTTGAACAGTATTCACCTGAAAAAATACGATTCTGGGACTATCATTTGTTTAGGGAAAACCAAAGAAAATTCGATTTATTTTCGTGACACCAATTTGCCTTTACATCCCACAGCTTCGCACATCCGCATGTGCGGGCCCGACTGGAGAAGCACATGGGCTCCAACCTCGTCAAGCTGACTGACAAGTCCTACATGACCGAGCTCGAGGAGAGGATCCGCGCCGTCAACGAGGAGAACCTCAACAAGAGGATCTCCAGTCGAGTCGTGAGTACTCCCATCACTCAATTTTGTGCGTTCAGCCCCTCTAGACAAAGCAACTTTTGTGATATTATTCAATTCTGTAATAACTTCACTATTTGTTTTAAATTCGTCCAAGACGCCATATGAAACATAAGTGTTCAGGCACACATACTTTCAATGAGCACGGTACGATTGCGCGGGACCTATTTAAATCTGCCGCCAACTCCGCCCCGCCAAAACTTACACGGCGAGCGCGCGCGACTACAGTAGCGCCGCGCCGCGTCCACGACGGAAAACGAACGAAAGCTATGCAGCTCGCCCTCTCGCGTTTGGGCCGGCTCCGCGAGTGCCACGCTTATTGTGTGCTCCAACGGAAATGTGAAATTTGGTGACTTTTTGGAAATGTTTTGTGTGTGAGGCCTCCACAGTACTTTGCTTGAAGTTAGTGACTCAAGTGAACCACCGAAGACACCGGGCGAAGCCCTAACTACCGGCCGGCGGCGTCCTACAGAGTACCTACCAGCAGCGCGGCGGCAGACAAGGTACCTGTTCGATTGTTGCTGTGTTTTGTTGATTGTGTTGTGCCTGGACGACACTGGGAAACTCATATTCGCTATCGAAGTAGTTAACAATAAGAAAAACGTACCTGATGAAAATTGGCCGTAAATGTAATTTCAATATTTGGCCAGTGTTCTTTATTACGGTACTTACCTTTACTTACATTATTATGCTCATATTCTTCACATAAGCTCGGTTACAGCTTGAGCGTCCTCGTCCTTCTCTTTCAAGGATGAATTATAATGAAAAGTTCATACTTGATTAGAAGATGAGCACGCTTTCAGGCCAAAAGTCTCAATTCAGAACACGGGCCTTAATACTTTCAAAACAAAATGTATAATACTCCTTCTAGAATTGATTAAACCTATGGATGGTGTTTGTTTTGTCACTAAAAAGATTTTGTTTTCTTTCTCGGCAGCTCGATGAGATGGAGAGGTTGAAGAGGCTCATACTAGTCGGGAAGACGCCCCTGAAGGAATGTCCACCCGAGCTGTTCCACCACCCAGTCTTCGTCTTCTGGAGAATGGTGAACAGGGAAGTCGCCAGAGCTTCAAAGAAGAGGGCCGATGCCTACTACAGAAAGCTGAAGGCGTCCCAGCGATTTGACCAGGTTTGTCTCTGATCATCATCATCATCATCATCTCAGCCATAGGACGTCCACTGCTGAACATAGGCCTCCCCCAATGCTTTCCATGTTGCCCAGTTGGTAGCTGCCTGCATCCAGCGCCTTCCTGCTACCTTTATGATGTCGTCTGTCCACCTTGTGGGTGGACGTCGCACGCTGCGTTTTCCAGTACGCGGCTTCCACTCCACGCGCCTTGTCTCTATTATGACTAGGTTATCAAAATGTGATAAAGATTTTTTATTATTATTCTTTTTATATCATAAACTATTACTCTAAATTTATTATTACCGAAAGATGAATGACCTCTACAATCGCAGTCTTTGTTATCCGTACTAAGGAGTAACAGATTCGTTTTTAAAACTTAATGCCAAAACTTAGTAACTTCTTTATTATTTTCTTTGTCTTCTACTTGGCAATGTCACTCGCCAAGTTAAATTATTCTGAACTAAGCTTTGTTATGTAGGACAAGCACTAACTTTCAATGTTAATTTCATAAAAATAATTTATTCAAGCAAGTTTCGCTGAACTCTCTATTCTAAAATTGAAATATTTACCTACCTGTTGCGGTTAGACTTGTTGAACAACATTTGTATAATTGTAACAAAAAAAACTTTTGAAAGACATACCTACCTACTCGAATTTTAAGAATATCAATATAAAGCAAATATGACGTGTTTGTTTTACTAGTTACCGTTAGTAGCGTAGCAACATAATTATCGACTATGCAGTTAATAATAGCGTTCTCATCACCTCATAGTTACAAGTTCCTAAAGTTCTGGCAGTTAAAGTATTACTTGCATTGCTGTAAAAAAGTAACTCGATAAATTCGTTTACGTATCGAAATGGTTCGAAAATTTTCTTTAAAATATTCTTGTTATGTAAATAGTGTATATTTTAACGCGCTTTTCTTTCCTACAGTCAATGGACGAAGAAACTGAAATCGAGGTGGTCCAAGAAGAAGCGGAACTGTTGACCCCTGACCAGCTTCTAGCAAAATGCAATGAAGAGATCGAGGAACAGAAACAAATAGACATAGAGAAGGGAGTGCGATTTACAGACGAGCAGTTCGCGCTGCTCAAGTACGAGACTAATGACGTCAAAACACTTAAAAGCCTTACGGTGAGTTATGAGAAGACATTTATATTATCCGTAGTTATAATACGGCCATAAAGATGTTTCATGGTTCGCAAAATATGTCTCTTCAAAAGTAAAAACAGCATTTTAGTTGCAAAATAGCCCCCTATTACAACAAAATAAGTTGCTTCGATGTTTATCTTGACATGCCGTAGTCTATATTTTACAATATTCCTTTTATTCTACGAACCTTCCTTTTGCCAGAACTTGGGTACTATTTAGATAAAGTTAATCATAGTACAGGATGTCACAGCTGCACTTAAATGTCTATCGATATCGATTCTAGTGAATGCACTCGCTCTGGAAGTACCTAGCGTTTGTTTACATACACCGAGCAGGGCTCGTGGCAAACCGGCTGGAGCCAGATAGGTTCAGCTGTGTTTAACCCGCGGGTTACCAAACATCGAACGCCCTCTGGACTATGATAACGGCTACTCGTGTCCACCGGTTCACGTTTACTTCATTACATGAGCACATCATTTATATTCATTAGGTTATGACTATGACAAATCGAAAAATATCAAAAGATTTTCCTTTGAAATGCGCAACTCTATAAATCATGCGAAAGTTTAAAATCTTGCCTGCGATCGTCATTTGTCAAAACTCTGCCCTGTTTTAATACTCATTTATCATTGGGAATCGAGATAAATAATAATATTTTGATTTGACTCTACAGGGTGTTAGGTAAATGGGTATATGAGCCGACACTAGCCCATGTTAACATGGGCATATAAATGGTATGGTGAAGTCAGAAATTTGATATTAACATTTTAATTTTTTTAATTTTCATACAAATAAATTTTATAAAATCCGATTTGTATGAAAAATAAAATAATTAAAATGAAAATATCAATTTTCTGACTTCTCCATACCATTTATATGACCATGTTAACATGGGCTAGTGTCGGCTCATATACTCATTTACCTAACACCCTAAATAATGATGACTTAAATCCAGACACTGTTTAAAGAACTTCATAAATCGATCTCAATTAGTTTTTAAGCCTTAATATAGAAATATAATATTTGGAAGTTACTCTCACAAGTCTAAACATAACCATAACTAACTTAACTACTCGTGCCACTAATAACTTTTGCGATAAAACAGTTGATCAAGGTATCACAGCAAAGATAAATTGGAGCATGTGTAACATAATATTACGAAATCCATATATTACGACCCTCGTATACTAGAAAAAAGACGCACATGCAGGGTTGCCAAACCAGTCATCACTAAAACTACATTTGCCAGTAGACAAATTGAATCACNATTATTATTAATATTTACTCACATTTTATTACCATGTTGTCAATTTATCGTACCTACACCTAATCATGAAGTAAAAGAAATATCCGTGTACTTGAATCTTCTCAGAAATGGTCTGATTAATATAATCATGAATTTTACACTCAAGTCACTGAACCGGACATCGGTTTATCCCAAACGAGTGTTGATTGTTTAATGAGAAGTGTCTGTACCGATTAATGTGTGATATTGTTTGAAGAACCGAACAAAACCGGCAACCAACTGGATTCTAATCGCACTAACTGCTTGCACAGGCTAATAGGTGATTATGTTTTGACTTGTCGAGTACATTCGTACAGATTCTAGACTAACTAAACGAAAATTATTAACACAAAACTTCCAGATCTCACTGGTTCAATGGTTTTGCGGTGACTTGTCTGATGCCTGAAATATGTTTTAGGATCTTCAACTGTTTCTAGGCTACCTAATATTATGTCGATATTCTGGTTACGGACAAATGTAGGACACGTAGGTGTGCCCTTAAAGTCAAACGCTCCAGAATTTGAGCTGGAATAAAACACCTGAAATATATCCATTATTTCCAAAACAATTATATCGTAATCGTATTCCAAGTTAAGGGTTGTGCCGTAATCGTTGTGCTCGAAACAAATTGTCAATTAGTTGTTCGTGACTGGAATAATTTGTGTGCGATTGATTTCTTAATTTGAATATCCAAACAAGACTTTTGTTTTGTTAGCAATGTTGTGGTACGATCAAATAATTTGGTTATTTTAGTCCTCAGTAAATATTCTTTTGTTTTTGCAGACCGTGGAAGAGTTATACGCCTTGGCCGACAAGATTATTGGGAGCAAACGCTTGTAGCTTCATTAATTATTATTTTAAGCAAATATCGTTAGCATTAAATCAGTCACTTTCGTTTGTTTTTTACCATGTGTGTGCCCCCAGTAGATAATACGTAAAAACATTGTAAAGTTTCTAAACGTAGTGAAAGTAAGCGACACTGTGATTTTGTATTAGAAATAAATGTCCACAAAACTTAAACCGGTTTTAGAGTATTATTTTACCTTGTGGATTTCTTCATATTTTTCTAAATCTAGTTTAATAACACAATCATTTAACTACTTGTTGTAGTAAATTAATCTGTGTATTATTTTATTTTGTCTGGTATAAGTACTGTACAAGTTAATTGGTCAGTTAATGTGTAAGAAGATGCGAGGAAAGAAAGTGATAAATATATTTTAAAATATTTTTATTCACTTGAACTACTTATAAATAAATACTTTTGCAACTTAAGAGTTGGTTACGTCAGAAGGAGCAGAGCAAAATAATCAAACCAAATAATACTTCACAATTTATTTGTTGACTTATCGTAAAAGTACATTTTGATAGTTATTCTGAGACTTTAACTTTAATATTTACAATTACAGATCAATGTAATATTAATATCAATCGAAATGCTTAAAAATAACCCAGTCAAAGTATTTTTGTATTTAACAGAACTTAATTACACTGACTACGAGTTTGGCGCTACGAATAAATGTCGTAGCGTTTGACTACGACGTTCATAGCCTTGAGTAGTCGTAACTCGTAGCAAACTGTAAAAATGTCACATCGTAATTCATGGTATTATGTAAATTTGTAAATACTTACGTAGTTATTTATTATACAATGCAAATCTTACATCTAGTTTGTATTACTAATAATTTGAACTTGATAATGTCTTAGAACTAGTAAAATTAATCCGTCTGTCTAGTGGCGAAAAAACCATCATATCAACTCTCCTAGTCACAGTGGTTGCGAGACAAAATATGACAGCGATTGCTATCTTTTGACTGGCCTGTTTAACACTTTAACAGCTTGTTTAACACTTTATCAGCCCAAATATAATACGTATCACTTTATTAACTGACTGTACAGTAGAAACTATAGTTAGAACAATAACGATTAGCTAGATTGGTGTCACAAGTGACTCTTTGGTCGCCTACGTAGTTGTGCGTAGATGAGGCCTGCCGGTTTGTCTATGGGCTGGTAGATGTGGTGGCGGGGGTCTCCTTTCGTCACATTGGCGGGGAATTTTGACAGGTCTATGTTCAGGTAGTGCTTGTTGGGCATTGTCATTCTAACCCAAGTTATCTGTGGACAAAAAAAAATAGGATAAGTTATCGGAATACTTGGATATTTCGCCTATGTAAAAATAGCTTCCTACGATAGCAGGGCGGACTTATACGAGCACAGCATCATAAATATTTTACTACTTTAGAATTACAATTTACACAGTCTTTTAGTCAGTTGACCTCAAACTAATCAGCTAAAGAAGAGAATTGGACGCCTAAAATAACTTCTTATCTTTAACTTTATGCCTACGACATAAATAATAATTAATCTTTAATTTTGTTTTTTAGCTTAAACTTAAACATTGACCAGACCAATAAACTTGTTTTGACACATTATTTGGCTCAATTAATTATGCTATTACGAGTTGTTATTATGGTCAAGCAACGATATTAACCTAATTCTAAAAACAACAAATATCTATCGTGTATATTATAGTTTAAATTCAAAAGATATTATATTATTTACGATAATCTTTAGCCTCCAATTGCGTCACATCACGCCCATATCACAAGGCTAATATAATTGCAATCAATATTGGTATGACATAACTTAATGTTTTACTCGTGCATGGCTTTATAGTGAAATGAAATCTTACGTAGTTATACCTACATATTTGTCGCAGTCGCCTCATGCATTTTTTTTTCACCACGAAAATAGTTAATCATATATTTTTTAACGGACTTCATAATATTCCGGGATTAATAACACCAACAGTGAAAGTTTAAACGAAGTACTTAGTTTAGATAAGAATATTTCTTGTTCATGAAAATTATATTTAATTTTACAGAAAAACACATTTTAACTGTATTTACATTGCAATAATGGCATGAAGCTCTTTAATTACATTTTATAATTTATATGGCTTTTGTAACATATTTTTCTTAACAGTTTGATAGAATCAATCCATCGATGTTTACAATTTTAATTTGTTAATAAACAAAGTTAAAATTAAACCATTTATCTTAGAAGACATAACGACCATAAATCAAATTATTGATACTAGTAATAATTTACTGGCCCTGTTTAAAATTAGTTATCGGCGCACGCGTCGGCCTGTCGACGCGTCAAATAAATCGTGTTATTTACTCAATCGATATCTCACTCGATACCTAATTACTGTCTGAAACAATTAACTGAGTCACATGACCACATTGTACTATTGCTCCTTCATACATAAATATAAATAATATTTTTAATTGATCCATAAAATTGTCAGTGTTGTTAGAACCGGTTTTTCCAACTTTAATCGGAAGATTTTGACAGTTTTAAATGTACCCACTTGAACTAAGTTAGATTTAAATTCATTCATCCCATCTTTGCCTGCATCTAACATTGAACCATATTCCATTTGATTAGGACTGATTCGAATTGAGACTTGAAATCATCTGATTTAAATCGGTTTCGAGAGCGCGGGAAGGTCTTGAAAAATAAACTTCTACATACCTCAGGTACTTTTTCTAAGACGACCTTCTCGGCCTGGTACAAGGTGTGTTGAACGGACGGGGAGTATATGCCCACGTCTGGGGGTCCAGCGAATTTATCTAAGATGGCGTCTTTGACGGTCAACCACGCGTTGTCGAAGTTAGCCGTCCGCATGCTGTCATATGTCCACTCCGCCTCCACAACCGTACTATAGAAAAAATATTAATGTTAATTAAGTCTGATAGATATTTAGTAATAACTAGACTAATCAAGAGCTATTTAAATGTAGTATATTGTAAAAAATAATATTATTTGTACTAAACTATTTTGTAGAATTAACCGCTTGTCAAACTAGTCTTGCAAATGTAAATGTAAAATTTATCTTACCTGAATATTCTTTCCGCAGCATCTGGTAGAGTTGTGTATTCATCCTGCACAAAGTCCACGAACGCGGACTGAGTAGTCTTCAGGACCCTGAGACCACTGAGACCTGATTTCACTGCCACAGCCTCTGTGTAACATAACAGAACCCAGTAAAACACTAGTTCAAAACTTGAAACTTAAAACCATTTGGCACTGTTTAATAGCAGTCACTCACCGTGTCTTGATTGGGACACTTCGCACCATCTGGTAGCAGTAGGGGAGAAGACGAAGGCGTGGTTGTGAGGCAACGTGGCCTGCAGCCTCTCCCAGGGGTACTCGACGACTTTACACTTAGCCGCCACCACTTGTTTGTACATGTAGAGGAAATGGTTCACGACGACCGCGCCGAATTCCTCGGGCGTTTTGATGCCGTGCTTTTTGGCCAGGAGGTAAATGGTGTTTTTCTGAGAGTCGGTGGCGACGACTTCTTTATTGTCGCCGAGGACGTATGCGGTTTCTGAGATGAGTTTAAGTTCGGTGGAGACCTCGAACTCTCGGATGGAGTGGTAGTCGTTGTCGCGGTGAACGTGAAGGAGCTTGACGGAGCTCTTGCCGTAGCCATGGTCGCTGAGCTCGAAGCGGCCGCCGGTGTCGGAAGCGGCGGTGAGAGCGGCGTGCGTGCCGCTACCGCCACCGTTAGCGATGGCGCCGGCCACGGAGCCCTCGCCGGTACTCGTGTTTGAGGGTTTCGCGTAAATTCTGAAATGTTTTAAATTATTTTACTATTTGCACTAAAATCGGAAAATATAGGAATTCAACATTATTAATTTAATACCTAACAATTATTTTTACTGAAACTTTAGCTTCGCTTTCAAACATTTAAACGTATGTTTTATTTTAATAAATAAATAATGTCAATGAAAAAAGGCAAGTAAAGTAAAAACCGCGAAAAACCGAACGTGAATTTTTGCTCAACATTAGCAAAACCAACCTGTTGGTGCTGGTCCACGGCATCTTCGTAACAATTTAATTAATCACTTTATTTTCAACGTATGCAAGAAACAACGCCGGTACATGAGCGCACAAAACTAAGTAAGGCGGGTGCGGTGCGCCCGCGCTACTTATAGGGGCACACTTTGACCCCCTTATCGGGTCAGCACGCGCCCACTGACGACCAGATATCAAATAGATAACCAATATCTAGTCTACTACATTTGCAAAACATGCCAAGATTTATCCTATTATTTGACGTAAGTTCGTAGTGTTATGTAAACTTAATTGGGCTGCTCCGTGAATAATGCATTTTCATCAAAGTATTGTACTTTACACCTACTAATTTTAACCCCGAAGTTGTGAGGATGGTGGATACTATATTTTTAACTTTACAAAGGTATGAAGAATATAAATTAATCACGCATTTTTTTATCTCAAAAACTTTACTGGCAAACGCTTCATCCGATTTTTTTAGATAAAAATACACAATACATTTTCTCTTTATCTCAGCATCTCTCCCTTTTACCCTCTGAATCATTGATCCTAATTCCGTTATTCCATTTCATATTTGGTTTAATAATTGAGCAAGACTTTATTTGTAATCAATGATTCATTAGTGTAGGTAAGTAAACAGACATTGCAATTAAATTGCAATTGAATTACAGATGCCTTTCGTATATTCTTCGCTAATTATTTGCTTTAGAGAGATCCATGTACTTGTGTGATGCTTTTTCACCAGTTAGATAGTTTTGACCGTTCCAACCCCTTGCCAGACAATCTTTTTAGGGTAGCTGCCAAAGCCACGATGACCCAAACTTCATGATGCACCATCGTTCTTACCTGTGTTGAGAGCATGCGCTGACAAGCTTTCAGCTACGGGACTATTCCCACCTCTCGTTCCCACCATTGCAACTCCTGTGTAGCCAGGATCTACAGCTTGACCGCCACAAAAACCCAACCAATGAAGGTCAAGTAGTTTGTCCCGGGGGAAAGTTAAACTGTCATTGGACCCGCAACGAAATTAATCAGAAGAACATAGGAGGAGTTCG